ACGTTCATGCTGCCGCGCACGCTCGGGCATGTCATGGGCGCTCTGCGATACGGTACACGTGTACGACCGCCGCCACGAGCAGGCCTTTGACATGCGCAACCTCGCGGGGCACCCCTCGCTGGAGCCGAGCAGCCACTGGAGACTGCCACCACTTCCATCGTAGCGCTCGAGTGCAACGCCAGCACGTCAACGATGACGGCACTTGAGCTCGTGCTCGATGCGCTCTCCAGCTGCCCGTGACACGTCTCGCGTCACGGGCAGGTCCCAACGGCACGGTCGGATGGCGTCAGCGCATGGCTTGTCGGCCTCTCGACACCGCCGATCTTGTCGCGCGTCCGCTTGCACAAGCTCGAGGCCAGCGACTCGGCGTCGAGTCGGCCGCGATCACGATACACTCACTATGGTCGACAAGACGACATTTGCACGAGCGCCAGCCGCCTGCGTCATCTCGAGCTCGGGCCGACCAGCTGCCAACTAGGCGCTATCAGCTCCTGCGCAAGACGGCGCGAACGCCACTGCATCGGAACGTGCGTGGCGATGACGGACTGCAAGCGCTGGCATTCTCTTTGTCGCTGCGCCATCTCAGCAAGGACGAGAACGGCTGCCCTGCGTAAGCATTGAAGTAACAAGGAGTTGCGCCGTGACGAAGTTGATGCGGGCGATGACCTACGCGGAACCACGTGGCTTCGTCTACGCATCGCCCATACTATCGCATCGGTAAAAGTCCATCACTCATAGAGACATCCATGAGTGATAGTCCAACACATGCACAGAACATCGGTTGTTACGTCGCATTACACATGATCGGCAGAGACATCGCCTGTCCTATTACTGTATACCATGCGATTCCAATTACAAGAGCATTTGAAATCGCATAATTGCATTTGCTCGGGATGAGTGACGAGGCCAAGTACAGTCTGCAGACGTTTGCACGTGACGCTGCAAGGGTCCACTGCTGCCGCAGCAATCCTAACGCCAGGCGCAGCCCGACCGTCAACCTCGGTGACCTCACTGTCGCTGCGTGGCCTCTCTCGACCGAGACCGTGGCGGCGCTTGTGGCCACATACCCCAAGCGCGTGCCGGCCAAGGACGTGACGATCCACAATTACCACTTTTTCCGCGGCGATTTCTTCGTCGACTCGACCATCCTCGGCGCGCTGGATCCAGCGCCAGACGACAGCAATTATTTCTCGATGGCGTACAAGCCGACGCTGGCGCATTTCGCAATCGACTTGACCGGCGACGCATCGACGTTGACGCCAACAACCCGACCGCCTCCCCACACCTTTGCGACGGTCGTGTACTTTTTTCCGTCCACCTGCGTCGGCGGCGCCGTCACGATCTCGGACGACGACTGGACGACGACGTTCGAGGCGCTTGACGGGTGCTTTCTCTCGTTCTACAGCACGTGTAATGTGACGGTCGCGCCCATCACGTCCGGACACCGGTCCATTGCCGTGTATTACGCTGCGTACGACCTGGGCGAATCCGGGTGGCACGATACCGTGCCCAAGGCATGGTTCGCGCCGCGGCCGCTGCCGTCAATCCAAGAGCTCCAGGACGTTGCTTGCCACTACGACCATGAAGGGTCCATTGGCGTTGCGATCGGGCTCGAGACACGCAGCTCGACGTTTGATTCGCTCAATGGTCGTGACAAGGCGATCGTCGATCGGCTGCTGGCCGCCGACGTCTTTGACATTGCACTTGTGCGAACGGGCGACGACGATAAGAAACACACCGACGCCAATGCAGCGCTGCCCGAGACTTTTCACCCCTTGTGTGGAACCCCGGCGCTCGTCCAAGAGATCTATGAGCAGACGCCAATCAGCGAGTTTGCCGCCGACACGGACGAGTTCGAGGCGCCCGGCTGCTTTCTTCTCGTGTGGCCCAAAGCGGCACGCGTGCACATTCTGGGCTACAACCGCTTGATTGCACTCTTGCGCGCCAACATGGACGTGGACGTCCTCGGCTTCGGATCGCTCCATAGCGTCTTGACAGCGGCCTTCCGGTACTTCTACCCGCGCCCCCGGGACAACGATGGTCGGGGCAGTTCATTGGATGGTTCAGGATTCCAATTGCAGGAACCAGAAAGTCCGGGCCCCGACCGAATCACAAGCAAGATGGCATCTTTGCTTTACGAACACGGCGACCTACGACTCATTGAGACGTTTTTGGACGTTCACAACCAGTGGGCCGACGACGAGACCATGGCCAACTGGATTGTCGCGGTGCTTCGACGCTTCGGCGCGTCTATTTTCCAGCACCGACTCCAAACCGCCAACGTCTCGCGCTCCTTTGTGGCTCAAGTGGTGCATCTCGCGACCGCCGGCGACGTCGTCGCGCAATCGATCGCAAGCGACTGTATCCGACTGTGGTGGCCGCGTCTTATGTCGAACCTCCTCCGCAAGACCGTCCGCGATGCTCCGATGCAAGTTTGCCGTATGTTTGATATCGAGACGTATATGCTGACGCACCCGATGGATCTGACGGCGTCGATGTATCTTCGTCGGTACCTGCCCGAGGCTCTCGTGCGCAAGGTGGCCGCGTACCTCGTCGCGCCGCCCGTGTCGCTTGCAGACGCATTGCGAGGCTCTGCCCACCTCGCTGGCTACCTCCCCGCCGTCATATGGCCGCACCGAAACGCGCTAAGTCACGCGCGTGCGGCTTCGTGCATTGAAGTGGCGACTGAGTATTTGTGCGCGCCCGGAGGGCACATCCACTTCTCGACAGGCCACGCACCGAGCCTCGTGTACCTGGCGCTGCTGACGGCCGGAACACCCGCCTTTGCGAAAGTCGACGCCGCCGTGCAAAAGCTGCGGCGCTATGCCGTGTTTACGTCCGAGTGCGCGGGCCTGGACACGGCGTCGTTGAGTACGATGGAAGCGCTCGTCTTGAACGAGTACATGCAGCCCAAGCAGCCTCCGACCTAGACCAGATTTCTAAACGAACAAGCGTCGAGACTACTCTTGTAATACATGCATGCGCTGTCGATACGTCGATGCTTGCTCCTTGAGTGACAGACTAGTGCGGGCGAGTGGTCTTCAACACAGCGCGACATCTTCAAGTTGCCGCTTCTGGTCCACGCCGTTTGGGGAAATGCATGAATATCGGACGCGACGAGTCGCCTGCGAGGACCTCCATGCTAGCAGCACTTTGTCGGTCACCGACGCACCCGGGACGCCGACACGAATGCCCTGAGTCCAGTAGACGCGAGGGCGAGAGAGAGATGTGCCCGTGGATGCGGATGTCTGCGAGAGCTTGGACGACGCTGTGGCAAACGATATTTGCGTCCTATCTGCGGCGGCAACGAGGTCTGCAGCGTCGTTCGAGCCGCGCCTCCAGTTGGCAAGGCGCATGCCAGCGACGCGGGGATTGACCGTGTCACAATAATCTCGAAAAACAACACTGTGCATCTGTATCGATTCAAAGAATTTGGTATACAACTCGACACAGTAGAAGAAAGGATACTGTACCTAGCAATGGCTTCGAGCTTGCTATTGGTACTGACGTGGCGAGGCACGAGGTCCCGCCCATGCACCGTAAACTCAACACCCGGCGCAGGTAGACATTCGACTGGCAGCTACCAAATCTCTGTCTGTCCGCGATGCTTTGAGTTTGATTGTTGCCGCAACCGTGGGCGCGGGGTCGGCGACAATGGGGCCCAAACATTGGACCAGCGAGCTTGACCCACAGCGACTTGGATACCAACAGAAAACGATGCACAAGAGCGCACTATATTCTCAACCAACCGGGGCGCTGCAGTGGGCGAGTGACGTGGCGAGCTCCTGGACGATCTCGCCGTCGTCGTCCGGATGCATTTCTTCATATCGCAAGAGATCGTACTTTAGAAACGCGACGTCCGGCGTCAGCGGCTGCGTGTGTTGCGGCGGCGCGTGCGTCAACCAGCGCAGAACGTTCTGTGGAATCGCCAAGCGTACTACGCGCGGATCCTAACAGACCTTTCAAGGCGCGCGGCGACGACCCACAGATCGTACCTCACACGGTCGGAGCGCCAGCTTGAGCCGCACGTGGAGGAGTTTGAGTTGATCCGTTTCCTTTGGCGCATGGACGCACTGCGGGCAACGGTCGTCGACGATCGTCATACTTGTCTGGGGGCACTTGGCGCAGGTCCATATCCAATTGACGTGATAGCCCCGGTGGTGCAGCCGCAGGAGGCGCCGGATCACCGCCGTTTGGCGGTCCATCAACGGTGCATCATGGCCACAAGCAGCGCAATTGGCTTGGACAGGGTGCCAGTTGGCACAGGCCACACAGAATATCGTGGGCATTTCCGAATTTTCCTTTCAAAAGAAAGCAAAAATGACAAAAGATGACAGAGAAAATCAAGACATACTTGCGACGCGGCGGCCGTGAGCATCGGCACCAGGTCGACGAGAAATTCGTTGGCGCGGGCCATTTGAAGCGCCGTGGTTCCATCCTATCGACAGACACGGGTTCGCAGAAGCCTCGCTGTCATCCAGTCGAGACCATAGCAGGACGGCCCACGTCGGCGCCCGTTGCGAGAAGCTGCTTGATGCACGAGAGACTCGTTGCACCAAGAGCGCACGCCAGCGGAGTCTTACCTTCCTACGCGTCGTGGGAGCCTATTCCGTGCTGCAACCCTAACCCTCATTGACGACGTACGTGATCTGGGGCGTCGACATCGGCGCCCGCATCGATAAGAAGGCGCAGAACGTGCTTGAACCGTCGACTGGCTGCTTCGTGCAGTGGTGTTCGTCCACCCTACGTCCCATCATAGGGCCTCGTTGGTATGAAATAGCAATATGTACTGTCTCGTCGTTGACATCGGCGCCGCGAGCAAGGAGCAGCTGCACCGTGTCGGTAGCCCCCGCGGCCGTCGCGGCGTGCAGCAGAGACCAAGCACCCTATACCGTGGATAAGATGGCCACGGACGATAGTTTCATTTCGGGCTAGAGGTGTCGTTACCGGCAGTATCGTGTTGAGCGAGAGGCTGGCATCCAACATCTGCGCCACGAGGCCGGCGTCGTCCTTGGCCACCGCGCGCATGTACGTCTCAGCCACCTAACGTCTCACTGTATGAGATTGCTCCTGCAACATAAGAGCGTACGCTTCTGCAGGTTGTGGCTACAGCCGACATTTCGTCGTCTAAAATCTCGACAATCTGGTTGGCTGTTGGCCGTGATGCCGGATCTCCAAGCAAGCATTCCGTCACCAACCGTCGCAACCATGGCTCGCACTCGGTCGCCAGCGTCGGGCGGAGCGTGCCGTTGATGACACCGCGGTTAAATGCAATCGGGTCTTGAACGTCTTGGTCAAAGTACGGCAGTTGACACATGGCCAGCTCCGTGAGGAGGACGCCAAACGCGTAAATATCGGCGGGACAGCCGTAGACGGCACCTTGCGCTTGCAGAATTTCGGGCGCCATCCAGAACCGGGTACCAGGTGCTTCGGTCATGTCGGTGGCCTCGAGCCGCGCGAGTCCGAGGTCGGCGAGCTTGACCTCACCGCTTGAACTCAGAAGGACGTTGTCGCTCTTGATATCACGGTGCACCAGCTTCGCTGCGTGCAGGTCTCGCAAGGCGTTGGCGATGACCCAGGCCACGTGGAGGTTGGTCACGTGCACCGGTGTACGCTGGTGACGACACTTTCGTTCCAGATGCGCCCGAAGACTGCCGCCGTTCATGTACTCGAAGAGCAGCGATGGCGTCTCCGAGCCTCGGTCAGCGATCGCAATGAGCTGGACGAGGTACGGGGACGGACACCTACCTCGTCATTTGAATCAATGCTTACCATCGAAACGATCCAACTGTACTTGAGGAGAGCATCGACTTCAGCCGTAAACGACGTGCGGTGCGACGTGTTTCGAAACTTTTTGACGGCGACCTTTTCTCCCTTGTAAAACCCAAGGTGGACGATGCCGTAGCTGCCAACGCCGAGCTCGGTCGTCGTCACGTCGCACTCTGCCGCTGCAATCTACGTGCATACGACTGGATCAACGTGCTCGCGCGAAGCGAGCGCTCACCTCGACCACCGCGCGGGCAGTGCGCTCAAAGAGCTTGGTCGTCATGGACGTATCGCCAGACTCGATTGCGATCGCCAGCGGCGTCTTGTGCATCTACCGTGCTTGATGACATGTCAAGCACCAACACATTCCTACAATGTACCATGTTACGGGTATCGAAGCGTAGGTCTGGCCTCGTGAGGAGCAAGTCGAGGATGGTTTCGTTGCGTGCGGCGACCGCCAAATGCACCAGAGAGCACCCAATCTACCCACGCCATCGTCATCAAGCACGACGTACTCTCTTGTACCGACCGCATCAACGACGTTGCAGCTGTACCGCGCTTGCAAAAGGTCGGCTAGACGCGCTACGTTGCCTTGGTTCACGGCCCGCAGCAGCGCCCGTCGCTAGCAACACTCTCACAACGCGTGTTGGCATGGAATATAGTACATGCTGGTAGGCGGGGCGTAAGGCCTCCACCATCGCACGATTGTCCGTCCACTTGAAGACATCGAGGACGCGCAATCCCGTCTACAAGGCGTCAAGTCCAAGCGTTGGTGGATGCGAAAAATGCACCGTTTCTGGCGTATCAAAGTCAACGCCAGCTTGCAGCAACGTCTCAACGACCTCGACATAGCCCTTCCGGGCCGCGACGTGCAGCAAGGTCGCGCCATTCTACCGTGTCCTTGCAACCAATGCAGCAGAATGCAAGGTTGTACCGCATCTCGTTCGTTGAGATCAATGTCTTTTGTCGCCATGAGCGCGGCCACCACGCTTGTGTAGCCGTCGACGATGGCCATGTACAGCGGTGACACGCCATACTAGAAGACAATATTATCCACATCCTTCGCGTCGAAATTGATGCGTGCAGAGACAGCGTACGTGCTTGGCGTTGACGTTTACGCCGTGCGCTACCAAGGCTGGGATGACGTCGGCGACCCCGTACTCGCACGCAAGGTGCAGAGGAGTCTGTCCGTTCTAGATCATGCCCAATGAGTCTACACAGGTACACACCATCGCAAGAGATACGTAAAGCGCGGAGACATCGACGCCCGCCTCGACGAGACGCGTCGCGGCACGAGCGTGTTGGCGTAAAATGGCAAGGTGCAGTGGCATCTCATCTCGCTAGTCAAGTCATTTCTTACATATCGAGTGTGGCCCGCGAGAAGAGACACGTACTGCATTGCGCACTGACGTCTGCGCGCCGAGTCGCAGCAGCAACGTGACCATTTCTTCGTTGCCCGTGAGGGCGGCATAGTGCAGCGGGCGATTCAGTGACTACACAAAATATGCAATTTCACCGCCGACATTGACACGGATGCGAACGCTGTCGGCGGCTTCCAGGTTGGCGCCGGCGTCCAAAAGAAGCATCGCATGCAGCGATCGGCCGGCCGCGACCGCCGCGTGCAGTGGTGTTTCACTCGCCTACGCAAGACGTGATGCCGCACGCGTCAGCGTACAACCAAAAACGCACGCGACTCGGCGGGTCGATGGCAATCGTTTGGATGCGCAAGAGCTTGCGAAGCATCACCGGCGAGCTCTGTTGCGCAGCTTCGTGCAACGCTGTCATTCGCATCTACACGTCTCTGTGATCGACGGCATCACGCGTCCTATGCTGCGTACAACCGACGCCACGTTGACGTTTGCATGGTACTTGAGGAGCAGATCCACGAGGTACACGTGGCCAAAGCGCACGGCGAGCATGAGAGGTGTCTCCCGCGACTTAATCCCCACATGAGTTGGATGGCGCATCAAAGAATGCGACCTACCACGTCGGCGCAATCGGGGTGGACGCCTCTCTCTAGCCACGTGAGGACGGCGCCAAAGTCACCTGCGTGCACGGCGAGGTGCAGCTCCTCTTCGGGCTAGGCATGCGGACAACTATTTTACGCCAAAACTTGGAAGTGAGAGCGTACGCTGAGTGGTGCCCCCGAACGTCCGATTCGCTAAAACATTCCACCCATAAGAAACCGACGTCCGAAGGACTAAGAATGCTACGATGGGTGCAAACACCGGCTCGTTGGTCTGCGTCGAGCTCGATGACTTTCGCGGGACAAGTGTCTCGATGGGTCGAGGACCCGCCTAGACGATATAGTCAGTGATCCTTGAGGTGAGGCTCGCCTACCGCCCGATCCTTCACAAAGGCTGGCATCGACGCCACGAGATCTGGTTGTCTACATCACCCATGACAAGGTGTACACATAAAATGGAAAAAACGTACGACTGCAACTTGGGCAGCAAGATGCGGACGAGGTTCTCAGCCGTCGGACGGCGCGTCGGATCCACCGCCGTGCAGTCCGCTGCGAGAGCTTGGGCCCACTCGGTGCTTGCATCCAAAGGGTTAGGGTACAGCGTCTGGAGGAGGATCCCAAACGAGTAAATGTCGGCCGCCTTCCCGTAGCGGCTTCCAGACGTCAGCACTTCGGGCGCTCGCCACTTGCTCGTGCCAGCACCCGTCGTCATGTTCGTTGACTCTTCCTTGGCGATGCCCACGTCACCCACCTTGATGTAGTGCTTGGACGAGAGGAGGATGTTGTCGGGCTTGATGTCGCGATGAACGACGTTCTTGGCGTGGAGGTCGTTCAAAGCGTTGGCGACGACCCAGAGAATCTCGATGGGAGCGTATGCCACAGGCACGGGTTCGTCGTTGGACAGCTTCTTGATGTGGGAGGTGAGGTTGCCGCCGTCCATGTACTCAAAAAAGAGCTGCGGCGCGTCTGACTCGGCCTCGGCGGTGGCAAGCAGCCGCACGAGGTACGGCGACGGGTTGCTATTGACGTGAAGCGTGACGCGAGTTCAAGTCCCGACGTCGTCATACTTTTCGAGGATTTCGATCTCGTAACGGAGGTTCTTGGCCTTGCTGCTGCTGTTCAAAAGCATCTTGACAGCGACATCTTGGCCAAAGAGCATGTCCTTGAAGACGATGCCGTAGCCACCACGACCGAGTTCTTGGAGATGCACGGTCGAGCGAGCCGCCACCTGCTTCATTCTTAACGTACACTATGGTGTCGAGAAACATACCTGGACAGCCGCCTGGGATGTGTTGCCGGCTTGCGCTGCATGCAGCTCCCATAGAAGCGAGGACAGCCCCAGCTTGGCAGCAATGGCTCGAGGCGACTCGCCAAGCTACAAAAAAGATCATCATTCGTTCTAAACGCCCGGTGGTGCATCCTAGATCTTAGGACCTTGTTGACACGGTCCAGCTCGATGGTCGGATCCTTGAGCAGCTCAGTGACAAGCACTTCGTGGCGGCCGAGCGTCGCCAAATGCAACAGCGTATTCCCATGCTAGCACAGATAGAGACGTGGGATCAACTAGATCGCATCTTTCTACCTCGTCCGTCTCGTTGGCGCTCAGGCCTTCAGCAAAGAGTGTGCGAATGGTGGGGAGATCGCCATGCCGAGTCGCATGCAATAGCTTCATTTTCTAGATCAACGCATAGTACTCCTTCGCTCAACCTCGGCTGTACATTGGTGCGCACATCATGGAGCACCGAGAGGACGTTGGCGTGGCCACGGGCTCGCGCAATCATCACTGGCGTCTTTCCGTCCTATCAGATAAGAATCAAAAAAAAATCGGCGCCTCTCAGCAAAAACATTCTACCAAAGTTGGCATGTCGAGCTTGGCGCGGGCATAGGCCAGCTGCCGCACGACATCGGCGTGGCCATTGATGGCTGCCGCGATGAGTGCAGTGACGCCCCACTAGTACAGTAAAAACGAGGTCTTGCTTTTTGAGCTTTTGAACGACCAAGTACCTTTGCATCGGCGACGTTGACATTGGCTCCTGCGTGCAGAAGCAACGAGACGATGCTGGCCTCGCCGTGTGCCGCCGCCGCCAGCAGACAAGGGTTCTAGTCGAGACGGGATCTTTCCTCTTCTAAATCCTGTCGCGGGATCCCACCGCCGTGGGCATGTTGACGTGAGCGCCGACGTCCAGCAATGCAGCGACCGCATGAATGTGCCCGGAGCCACTCGCCGCGTACAAGGGCGTGTAGCCCGCCTAGCCATCGAAGTGTATCAATGTATCAATGCTTCAAGCTGGGGATGTACGTGTGACACGGCGTTGGGGTCGGCGCCGCGAGAAACAAGAAAACGAATCATATCGGCGTGGCCATTCTGCGCTGCAAAATAGACAACTCCATGCCCTTCCTAAGCATACATCAATTCGGTAATAACTCTTCCAGATGCTACCGGTAGCATACCTTGTCGACGTCCGAAAGCGTCGCGCCCTTGGCCAGCAGCTGGGTGGCAATCGCTACACTTCCCACATCCGCGGCGAGCAAGACGGGCGACCGGTGGCGCTACGCCAGCGATGGTCGATGCAGTGCGAAGTACAACGATGCGACATACGTCGATGTCGACGGCGTGGACGTTGGCGCCGGCGGCGAGGAGCGCGTCGACAATGGCGGCGTTGCCGACGCTGATTGCTGCATGCAGCGCCGTGCCCATCTACCGCCATTGGCTCGTCACCGACCATCGACCATCAAGTCGTTGATACCCCTTTGGAATGGTTGACATCGGCTCCTTTGTCCAAGAGCAAGCGGACGAGCTCGATGGGACCCCGGCGGGCCGCGATCGTCAGAGCCGTCTCGTTGTTCTACAGAAGGGTCTTGCCGGCGTCATCGAGGCATAGGACGCACCACTTGGAGCGTCGCGTCGACGGAGGCGCCGGCGGAAAGGAGCAGCTCGGCCGCAGCGACGTGTCCTTCCATCGCTGCGACGCAGAGCGCCGGCGATCCAATCTGGCACACAGTAGGTTAAGGGCCCTAGCCGCGAGGACGCGTACGTTGTTGCGGCTGTTGGGGTCGACGTTGTCTCGTAGAAGGGCGGCGACCGTCGCCACCTCGCCACGGACGATAGCATCGAGAAGGTCCATGCCGCGCTAGCCCGTGCGACGACCTTGCGACTGCGGCGAAATGGCAATCTCCGAACAATCCCACGCAGGACAGTGGGACGTATCCGATTCTGCGGGTTTGCCGCAGGCCATCGACTTGTAGAGGCACAGATCGCCTCCGCCTGGATCGCGGGCGTCGACACTTACCCATGTGCATGTAGGAAGCGTCACATGGGCTCCGTCGAGCTCCTCGATGCTAGTGCCATCGTCGTAGGCGGCCGAGACAGGCGGGTTTGTCGGTGTTGGCCATGGATTGGATTGGCCGCGGTTTCATTGGCTAAAACCCGCGAATCACCATTGCGATCGATGGCCATTGGTTAAAATTGGTTTCCGTTTATCCGGAGTCGCGTTCGTGGACAACCGTGGCATGGGCAGCAAACGCACGGCCGACGAGATGGAGCCGACCGCGCCGACGGACGCGACTGCAGCTGGCGACGAGGCCGTCACGGCCTACGTGTCCGTGGAGCTCGTGGACTTTGCCGAGTTCCCGATCCTCGACAAGCACGAGACGCTCGAGATCCAAGGCCTCGAGTCCGAGACGCCGATTTTGCGCATTGGCGACTTTACGCTCTACGGCGTGTACGAAGATGCGATAGGCACCGACGTCTTCTACGACCTCCAGGCGAGTGAGAAGACGACGCTGCACGCCACGAGCAAGCGGCTCAAGTTTACAATTGCACCCAAAGACAAGAACGCGTTCCATAAGAAGACCATGAAGGTTGTGTAAGATGTTTCTCGTGTGCTAGCAGAGCCGTGCTTCTGTGCTGTTGAGGGCAGTGGACGTGGTTTGGATCGACCACGACCGTGAGATCGACGCGCCTTTTCACAATGCCCAGCCCATCCATCTCGTAGCCTGCGTCGCTGCCACAGAGCTACATCGTCCTTTTGATACGACACAAAACAACTTGGCTATATTTCGACTTGGTATGCACGCACTCCAGCAGCTTAGGACAACATCGACTCACTCGTTCGGAACGGTGGCCATCGCATACCGCAGGGCTTTTAACAAAAAGTGCCCAATTTCGGGGGCCGTTTACAATTTGTGCACAATTTTGCAGAATGTGCCCAATCCAAAAATCTTGCTGACAGGAAGTGCCCAATCGGGCAAAGACGCACCTAATCTTGAGCACTTTCCAACCAAGCCAACCAACATGACAAACATGCACCTGCATCACTTTTCAATTGCAGATGAGCAGACGAGAAGGGGCCATGGGCAGTGGTACCCATACCCGGGACGGTGGCATCTTCTTCACCGTCGGGTCGGACGCGCCCGCCGATGTGGTGCCTTCCGGTGGTGTGCCTGTGAGTTTCGACGAGCTGCTGCGAGTGTTCGCCGGCAACGATGCGCTGCATCATGAAGAGGCGGCCACGTTTGCTACCGAATCCACCATACCAAGCAAGAACAAGAAACAAAAGAAGGCTAAAAGAGAAGTTTTGACTCTCTGCGCGTTGGTAAAGCTTCACCGCTTTCTAATACACAAAGGTTTACTGGGTAGTCTCAAATCCTGAGGTTTCCTACCTCTGTAGGATCTCACTTTCGGATTGACTACTGAAGCGTCGGTAGAGTCTCGTGCTCTCCGATGTGAAATGACCTTCTCTGTGGCTTTCTATCCAAAGCGTCCACTGTGTGGTGCTGTGTGGATTGATCACTGGAGCTCCGGATGGCTTCGCGCAAACCGTAAGGACGTTGCGAAATGCAATCATCAAAGGTTAGGTGAATGCTAACGTCAATATCACGTTGAAGTCATCTCAAGAACGTGGTACTGGGACCCTTAAGTAACAAATCGTGTTGCCGGGTGCTCTCGAACGGCATAATGACCTGTCCTCACGTGATCTGGAGACCAAACGGTACAATAGCGGTACATTGGTCTATAAGTGTACTAGTACGTTAGTAAGACTATGTGGGATCTGGTATTCCTGCGCTTGGTATGCGGTTGAATGGGTGATGAAAGGGAAAGGACTTGTTTCGCTCACAAAGCGAAGAAGAAACTGTCTACGTGATAGTACTACGGTTCATTGTCTGTCGAATTAAAGGCATTTGTACAGTATTGGAACTGTGCAAAGGCTATGCATTTGCTGTGCTGCAATATCGCACCGCACTTTGTCACTCATGCAGTCTACGAGCTGCATTAGTTGATGCCGCATAGGATCAACTCATCTGAAGTTGGAACTTGTCTGCGACGACGTATTAATAACTATTGAAGTGTTGCAGAGCTTTCTGCTTCGCATTGCTTGATGGTTTTGGTCATTAATACTGAAGGGGTATCTCTTTTGGATGTTGCGAGGCTATGAATGCCACTTTTCTTGGAGCTGAAACATGGCTTACTTGTGTTTCCGTGCACAACATGGAGTCTCTCCTAGTGCCGTCTGAAACGAGCTGTGGAGCGCCTGAGAGCGTGGTACAGTATGTAGTATGTACACTAGTACCAGTACAACCGACTTCTGTGATACTTCTTCAATTGACGAGTTCATTCAATGGAGAATTGGTGTCTTTATGACTACGCTGTGGACACATTTGTCTTCACATCTCTAGGACATTTGTGTTCGACCAAACGTTAATGCTACTGCACGTTATGTGCACAACGATGGCGAACGAAGCCATAAGGTTATGGGTATCGAACCACGTGTCATGCAAGACAATCTTTAATGATTTGTCTTCATACATTGATATGGGCAATGCATCAACTCGTGCACTGATACACAAAACTCAGTGTGGACATTATCGTCCGCATGCGTGACTTCTACGTCATACAACCAAAGTACTAGCAACGAACCGCTGTTTCAGCGTGTGTTGTCAGACGGTCTAAAAGGTGGGAGGACTACGTCTACCCAGACGTCTACCTACGTACAGGAAAGGTGGGAGACTGTCTCTCGCTACCTGTACGAAAATGTTTGAGCATTGAGGTGCGATGTCACTGCTCTCTACTAGTATTCAAGAGAAATGGAATGCTGTGAGGCACATACGAGACTCTTATGGACTCTTCTGTCTGAAGATCTAGTCGTCTCTGACTTCCTGAAGGAACTACGGCTATCGCTTACTAGTATGGTCATGGGTCTTGACGGGATATAGTGTTATCGCAGTTTGGCGAGCACAATCCTCCACGATGATATGCTCCAAGGAGTCTTTCATCATTTGCTCAGACTTGTCCTCTGCCCAGCGATGAATAGACTGCAGTAAGCGGCTCTGGAAGCATGCTTACTTTCCAACCACAAAAGGACGCGGTGCCAATCGGCAAACATTCGGTTTAGCTGCGGTAGACTACCGGACTACCTCGTCGGTGGGAGTTCCGAGATTAAGGAATCATGACTGGAAATAAGGAGAAGGAAAAGTTCCAGACTCGTGCAGCCTTTATGGCAACTACTAGCTAGTACCACAGCAGTGAGAGCTACACTACTAGTAGACTGAAACGACTGGATTATGCCGATTCATGATAGTGGGAGAAGCTGTGGGAAAGCATGAGCTCGAGGCATCCACGACGACGAGTTCTCGAGCGACAGCGATGAAGCATCGACAGTGACCAAGACTAGATGATGTCGAGCAACCTCAATACATTTTACAGACGACGATCGATCGAAAAATGAATTTACTTCTGTGCTGGAACATGTGCGATCCGCCCCTTCTCGTCTGCTCATCTGCAATTGAAAAGTGATGCAGGTGCATGTTTGTCATGTTGGTTGGCTTGGTTGGAAAGTGCTCAAGATTAGGTGCGTCTTTGCCCGATTGGGCACTTCCTGTCAGCAAGATTTTTGGATTGGGCACATTCTGCAAAATTGTGCACAAATTGTAAACGGCCCCCGAAATTGGGCACTTTTTGTTAAAAGCCCCATACCGCAGCAACCACGAAGCCGATGGCACCTCACGGACCTAACGCTACCGGTCGCCGACGGGCCTTCCAGAACACGTTCGACTTGGACGACGAGTTCGAGCGCTGCATAGCGACCCTCGTCGCAAAGGACGCTACACCGACGATCGGCATCGACTATACTGAGAATTTCTCGTTCACCATCGGTGCGCGTCATCACGTTGATCGATGACGGCGCCCAAAGACGCATGTGCTGCTGCTGCTCAAGAGCCTCGACGACCGCCAACAGTCTGGTCACATGTGGCACTCAATAAGGGCCTCTGCGTCTCGTCATCTCCGGTCGAGCTGTGCCTCCACTTGATGGCCGCGTTTCATCTATCCGAAATGTGGAGCCCTCGATGCAAGCAATGTGCACAAAATGCTGTGGTTACTGACGACAGGGTGATGCAGGGCGCACCGGCCCGTGAGGACGTACACCACCATTGACAGGAAGATCTGCGTGCAAGTCGCTTTCAATTCTCATGAATGAGCTCGCTCGTCATCTTTCCGCTTCTTCGTCGCCTACACTGCTGCGACGTCAACACGACGGGTGGGCCATCATTTTATTGCCATAACATTATGCGACATGCAAGAAAAAGTTATAGATTAGCAACAGCGCCTGCGATATGCTCCAACAATTGACACTACGTCGGCGGCACACGCACCGCAGAAAGCATCGACTGGAACGACTTGGCAGCTCGGCATGTCGTCTCGATGCACTGCATGTCGTCGGTTGACAAGGGCGTCATGCAGTCGGAACACCGTCGCGCTGTCTTCATCGGCAAGCCTCGAGCAAGAAGCATTGCATACCAACGCTCTGCGTCCTCGAGCAAAGACACAATTGCCGTTGTTTCTCGGTAGTCTTGACGTTGTCGGCGCGCGACGTTGAGGACCGTATCGCCGTCCTGTTCAACAAGGTCACACGATAGATCGATGGGCGGTTGTTAGGCACCTTGGTCCGCGCCAGCACCGTCGTCGCATCGGCATCGACGATTGTGCTCACGACTTCAGTCAAACCAACGCGCACAGCATGGAAGAGTGGGGTCTCGCCTCGCTACATCACGCAGGTTGATCCGAGGACGCAGCGTTAGAGCATACCAGGTTCGTCGCGTGCACGTCGGCGCCTGCCTCGATCAAGCGCGCAACGACCTTGTGGTTGAACAGGGTGCTCGTGGCGGCAAAGAGAGCCGAACCCCCGCCTCTCTGATACGCATTTAGGACCGGGTGTAGTCCGACATGAACGCACCAGTCGGTGGTTGACCTTGGCCCCTCTGGCCAGCACAGCGTGAACGAGCTCGGGACTTGCCGACATGGTGGCAGCGCAGAGCACACTCTCGCCCGTCTACACAACGGCGCTGGAGTTGCATCAAGAGTCGCGAGGCTTACGAGTGTCAGGACCGCGTTTGGGTTGAGCCCGTCGTCAAGTAGCTGTGCTGCGACCTCGAGTTGTCGCTGCATCGCTGCCTCTTTAAAGGCCGCCAACATCTACACAGATTTGAGGCCAACTATTTCGGCGCGTCAGCCATCTGCAACCTGGTTTTGCCGTGTGGCGGCATCCATGTGGGGCTGGAGCGCGGCCACGACTGCGGCGGCCGACATGCGCGCTGTCGGGTCCTCGGCCATGCAGCCGGCAACGATACTGGCGTACCAGTGCTCGCAGTCGTCTCGCAGTTGTCCGAGGCCGGTCGACGGCATTGCGAGCGTATCGAGCTCCGCCAGGAGGACGCCAAGGGCGTATACATCGGACTCCTGCGACGCGGACACGTGCCCGTTGCGGACTTCAGGGGCAGCCCACGGCGTCAGCGACTCGTGGGCCGGCACAAATCCTGGCCAGAGGACTTGAATGGAGCCCGAGCACGGGGCTCCCAATACGTCCGCGTTGGAGTTCGCTTTCACGTAGAGACTATATGTCGAGAAACATCCGTGGTCGAGTCCCCTTTCGTGCAGGTCCGCGAGTGCATTTGCAGCTACAAATGCAAGTTGGAGCTTGGATGGCCATGCTTCAAGCCGCGACCCCGGCGCGAGCCCGTTCAGTTTGTAGCGCAGAATATCGTCTTGCGACATGGACACGGGATGCTCCATCAGCACATAAGGCGACCTACAAGAGGCACTTGAGAAGGACACGTTACGCGGGGCGTCAACAAGGAAGCTTCTTCGTCACCCTCGCCCATCTATGCAATCACCGTTATCACCGATCACGTCGTATATCGTATGGAGAAACAGTCGTACATCACTGCGCAGTTGAAGTCCCTCGTACAGAAAACGAACGACATCACTCGCGCCAGCGTTGATCGCCACTGTCAGCGGCGTTTCGCTGGCCTAACACTTACCTATGAGCTGCAAGTCCTCTTCGTGGAAGTGCACCTTGTTTGTGTGGTGAAACGACATACGCGATGCCAGCAACGCCTCCACGATCGCCAAGTCCTTTTGTTGCACTGCATAATGCGCAACGGAATTACCAGCCTACGTAGACACACGTCGTGTCCCACAACGGGTGTAGAGTTGGTATACGGCATCCTGCTCCAAGGGCGTGATCGGTTCGGCGAGGAGCTCCTTCAGCATTGGCAGGTTGCGTGCCTCGATCGCACCGACCAAAGCCTACAATCAATACAGCACAGAATTGGCGAGCCATTGCGTACAGAGGTGGTACCTTGAAGTGGCGGTACTTTGCAGTGTTCTCGTCACGTGTGGCCTTGGCCGTTCGCTTTTCAGCAGCGTTGGCGGCCCGTAGCCACGCAACGACAGCCGTCGGCACTGGTGTGTGAGCACGGTCGGGCGTCGCTTGCATAGCCTTCCGGAGACGTATGAGCAGCATCTTGAGCTCGTCTCTGATCGGCGTATGGGGCGTCTCGCAGCTCGGGCACGTTGTCTCGAGCATGAAGATGGCGCGGTCACATGAGGTACACCTGCGCGTCCATTCGAGGGGCAGCCCTCGGTGGTGCAGCATCATGCAGCGTTGGAGGGCGCACTTCATCTTGTCGCGCATCGACGAGTCGTGGCCGCAGGTAGGGCATGCATCACCAATCGCGTGCAAGTCGCTGCACTCGTGACAGCGGCGCATGTCGGCCATCTCCACTCCCTGTTGCAATGTTGGCGTGCATATACATCGCATGCGAACGTACCATGCTGGCCACCTCTTGGTCCGAGCCGTGGTCCATCGGGACCCCTTCCAGGACAGAGATGCGCTATGAGGTGCTGAGCGACGACAGCAGTGTCACGTTCGGCCCGTGTACCTGTGTCGCGAACGCTGCATTTGCACCAGCATCCGATAGTAGCTGGACAAGGCTCTCGTTACTGGACGTGAAAGCGTGATAGAGTGCAGTGCAGTGCTCCTACCCAGGTATAGGAAAAGCTAATCCTCGTGCCGCAATGTACTACCTTGTCCAACGCATCGACGTCCGCGCCGGCATCGAGTAGCAGTGCAACGAGCTTGATGTACCCCTTTCTCGCAGCAACGTGAAGTGCGGTGTCTCCATTCTACAGCACCATAGTGACAGCGCCATGCAACCCTATCGCAATGTACGTGGCGTTTGTCGACCACTGCGCCGTGGTCGAGGAGGAGGTCAGCAACGTCTTCGCTACCGAGGTCCACGGCCAGCGCCAGGGGCGGCGAGTTCCCCTGCCATACACACCACTTGGTCGAAGCGGGTCCAGAGGCAACATACCTCCACAGTAGAGTTGGGGTCGAAACCATTTTCGAGCTGCGCTTGCACCAAGGCAATGTCGTTCAGGGCAACGGCGCGCCGATATGCCTCAAACGTCTAGTGGAATGCGCAGCTTACGACCCAAGTTCACGCCATGATAAATCGTACGTACACCAGCAGTTGCTGCCGTACCGTCGGCGACTTGCTTTTCGAGAATGCAAACGATTCCCTCGGCCGTCGGGCGCTTGGATGGCTTGTCGTGGAGGCACTGCGTCACGAGGTCTCGTAGCCACGGCTCGCACGACTCGGTCAACGTCGGGCGGCGACCTGCGAGGACCGCCTCCTTGATCTGATAGTCATTCATCAAGTCGGTGGCGTCGTAGTACGGCAGCTGGAGCGTATCCAGCTCGGTCAAGAGCACGCCAAACGAGTAGACGTCGGCTTGGGTGCCGTAGCATTCGCCGTCGACGCGCAGCACTTCGGGGGCTGTCCAGCGCGCCGTGCCGCGGCCGTCCGTCATGTACGTGGCCGCCACCTTGGCGATACCCAAGTCGCCGAGCTTGATGTAGTGGTCCGTGCTCAAGAGGACGTTCTCGCTCTTGATGTCGCGGTGAACGATCCCAAGTGCATGCAAGTCCTTCATCGCATTCGCGACCACCCACGCCACCTCGAGGGTGGTCACCTGCAACTCGCTCGTTTGCAGCCACCGCTTCTGGTCCAAGTAACCCCGCAGCGTGCCCGAGTCCATGTAGTCGAGCAAGAGCGCTGGCGTCGTCGACGCGCGGTCAGCGACGGCGAGGAGCGACACGAGGTACGGCGATGGACACCTACGCACGCTGACTCAGTGCCCCTTCGGACCACAAGAGGTGACGCGACTTGGCCATGGCGTCGGCTTCGGCACGCAGCATCGCAGCACCGTCTTTGGACCCCTTGGACACCTTGACGGCAACCTTGCGCCCTTGATACGAGCCGCGATACACGAATGCTTGGCCGCCTGCTCCGAGCTCCTCCGTCGACGTCTCGTAGTCACCACGCGTGATCTAGTAGTGCGATGAACGCGTAAGACAGCAGCGTGATGTTTTTACCTCTTGGACAGGTCGGTGCAGGTGATGAAAGAGGGTCCCCGCCATGTCGAGGTAGCCGCGCTGGATCGCGACCGCCATCGGAGATCGACGAGCCTACGCAGTCGCCGTCTATGAGCACATGTAGCTGGTATTATGCAGTTCAGATACCAGATCCAGCTCGGTCAGCTGGATCCCGGGCGCTGCGAGGAGGCAATCAAGGGTCTCGTTGTCGTATGCCCGCACGGCCAAATGCGCGAGCGTGTCACCGGCCTGTAGAAAGCGTGCACATTGTGAAACGAAGTGTGATCGCTGCGCACCTTGTTGCGTGCATTGCTGTTGAACGGGCGCTTCAGAAGCTCTCGCATCTTGGCAAAATCCTTGGCTTCCGCTGCGTCCTGTAGTTCTTGCTTCTACAAATATGACATGACATCCAGTTGCAAGGTACTCAAGGCTCCAACATGGTCGACCGCGGTCCTCAGCAGTGCCACTGTAGCCATGTCGCGCAAGGACGCGGCGTACTCGATGGGCAAAAGGCCGGCCTACGCCCACGCATTGGTCATGTAACGCAGCATCTTTCAACCTCGTTGGGGAGATCCACGTCGAAATGGGCATGCAAGAGCGCGCGCACCACGTCAGCTTTGCCCGTTTCAATGGCCACGTGGAGAAGCGTCTTGCCGTCCTACGATACGTCGTCGACACGTCCGTGTCTCGACGCCGTACCGTATTCACGTGGTCGAACTGAATGCCAGGCGCGGCCAAGAGCAGCGAGACAATGTCGGCGCGGCCATTTTGAACGGCGACGTAGATGGCCGATCCGGAGTCCTACGCCACGCGCCTCGTGGGTTTTGGCTTCTCCATGTCGAGCTGTTTACGTAGACGGCGTTCATGTCGGCCTCAAACGCAAGCAAGACGCGCACCACATCCACATGGCCTTCGATGGACGCGGCATAGAGTGAGCTCTCCCCCGACTACAAGAGCATCTTAGTCCATTCTTCACAGGCGACGTGCATCATGTACCGCGTCAGCGTTGACATTGGCGTTGGCTTCCAAGAGCAACTGGACGACTGCTGCGTGGCCACGTCGGGCAGCCAGGTAGAGTGCCGTGGCGCCCGGCGCCGATGAGTGGTTGCAGGGGCAATCGACGTTGTGCACGTGCGGGAGCAGCGCGGCGACAACATCAGTGTGGCCCTGCGCGGCAGCCTCGTGCAGCGGTGTGCCACTTGTCTACACCCTTCCATGACGCATTTTCCGACCTCTGACACAAGAGCTACCTCGATGCCGATATTGGCATCGGCACCGACGTCGAGTAAGGCCTGCACAGTCACCGCGTCGCCGCATTGGGTTGCCATGTACAACGGTGTTATCCCGTGCTGCAACAAAAGGGTGAGTGGTACACCGACACGGAGCACACGTACAGTCGTCTTGGCGTTGATATCTGCCTTGGCGTCGACAAACTTTTGGAGGAGGTAGCTGCGCTGCTGCAGAGCCAGGACATGCACTGCCGCATACCCTTGCTACGTCCCAGGTGAAGGTCATTTTGCTCCATGGAAGACGTCACCGACCACTGTCTTGAGGTTGATGTTGGCGCCACGCGCAAGGATGGCCTCCAACACAAGATCGTGGTGCTGGTCGACCGCCAGCATGAGCGCTGTTTCGCCGCTCTATTGAATCTGTCACGAGACCCGAGGGTGACTGGTTGCCACTACCTCGGTGGCGCAGTCCGGGTGCACCCCTGCGTCAAGTTGCTCCAAAACCACTGCAACATTTCCCTGCTGGGCAGCACGCAGATACAATTGCTCGGGCTATTGGACGCATCAATACCCACTCGTGTCGGTGGCGGCAATGTACCGCGAGAGCTTCGTTGTGCACACCAATTGCCTACGCATCCAAGATGTCACCTCGTAAGCATCGTCCTTTGGCAGCGTATACCATGGACGTCCAAATCGCAGGCCGTTGGCCCGACCACATCGAGGCTCTTGTCTCGACGGGCTGCACTTCTAGAGGGGCCAGGGACACCGGCTCGATCTATGTGCACAAACTTACTCTGTGGGAGGTTACATGGGGACTCCTACCGCTCGATCAGCCTCAAAGACCCGTCGCGACATGACGAGCTCCGGTCGCCTGCTTCATCCTAAGTCACATACTGTCTATCATTACAACGTACCGTTGCAGTTCCGGACGCAGGAGCTCGACAATGTCGGCCGCCGTCGGGCGCATTCCTGGCTCGGTCGCCTTGCATTGCGCATGCAGCGCCACATACCACGGCGCGTCGTCGGCCTCAGCGTAGCTCGCCATGCCTGGAAAGAGTTTTTCGAGCAGGACGCCAAACGAGAACATGTCGGCGGCCGTGCCGTAGCTGCTGCCCGACCTCAGCACCTCGGGGGCCATCCACTTGTCCGTGCCTCTGCCCGTTGTCATACATGTCGTCTTCTTCTTGGCGATGCCAACGTCCGCCACTTTTATGTAGTGCTTGGACGAGAGGAGGATGTTGTCGGTCTTGATGTCGCGATGAACGACGTTCTTGGCGTGGAGGTCGTTCAAAGCGTTGGCCACCACCCACGCCACCTCGAGCGACGAGTAGCTCGCCATCACGGCTTGGTCGTTGGCCAGCTTCTCGAGGTACGAGGTGAGGTTGCCGCCGTCCATGTACTCGAGCACAAGCTGCGGACTCGTCGAGTCAATCTCAACCGTTGCCACCAACCGCAGCAGGTACGGCGATGCGTTTCTACTCCGTGACGTCAAAAGGTTGCAGAGACAGCACAGAGGCAACGTACGTCTCCATGACGGCCATCTCGTGGCGCAAGGTGTCTGCCTTGGCGTGGGCATCTTTCAAGGTCTTAAGAGCGACGTCGTAGCCGTGGAGCGAGCCTTTGTACACAGCGCCGTAGCCGCCGTGCCCAAGCTCTTCCAACTGCGTGACATCGCCAGCTGAAATCTAGTCGTCGTATGAGCTGGTAAAGAATGTGTTCCGATCAAAACCTCGACGGCTGGCGTGGTTTGCACTGTATGCAGTTGCTTCACGAGCGCCTCGTTGGCCATCTTGATGGCAATCGTCATGGGCGACTCGTCCAACTAGAATTGTCAAGCCGCCATGAGTCCCAAGCGGTTGTGTCGTCGAAGAGACGTTGTTGAGGTGCGTGGTCTGGACGCCGTCTTGCGCCAAGAGAACGGCCAGTAGCGCGTCGTGCTGGCCCAAGACGGCGAGATGCACGAGCGTATTGCCGTGCTATTTGTCTATAAATGAAGAGAGTATAGACGATATTGACCACCTCGTCATTCTCGTTGACGCTGAGCCCCTCGGTAAGAAAGGCTTGGGTGGTCTCGAGGTGGCCGTGCCGCACAGCGTGCAGCAGCTTCAGTTTCTATGCCCAGAGAATCTCGCCTCTCTGAATGCAGCATTCGAGCCCGCACCTTGTCCCGAACGTCTTGGAGAACGTCGACGACGCGGATGTGGCCGTTGGCGACGGCTTGCGACAGCGGCGTCGACTCGTCCTACAGAATCCAGCTCGACGACACTGCATGCAACAGTGGTCGGTACCAAAGCGGGCTGGTCGAGCTTGGCTCGGGCGTAAGCGAGTCGGCGGACGATGGCGTCGTGGCCGTTCGCAGCCGCCATGTAGAGCGCAGTCGCCCCCGTCTAGACAAGAGGAATGCCATTTGGGTATCGTGCTTCTTGGTTGCACGGACGAAGTACCGTTGCCGAGGTGGCGTTGACATCAATCTTGGCGGCGAGAAGACACTCGACGGCTTCGAGGTGGCCATTCCCAGCTGCGGCAACGAGGCTCGAAGCACCAACCTACCGCGACGTTGATGGGACCGTCACATGCAAGCGCAAACGTACCGCAACACCAGCATGAACGTGTGCACCGGCCTCAAGCAGAGCCGTCATCGCGGCAGCATGGCCGTTCTCAGCAGCCATGTACAGCGGCGTCTGCCCAGTCTGGAGAGATACATGAGGTGCGAGAATGGCTTCTCTATCGACGTACCGATGAGAGAACATTCATGGGCGCGCCGGCGTTCAAGAGCGCGAGAAGCATGGCCACATGTCCTTTTGCTGCCGCATAGTGCATCGCACTGCAACCAAACTAGGACAGTCGATGTATGAAAACGGTGTGTGAAGCATGACTGTTTACTCTGTTGAGATCCGACGCATTGTTCTTGACGGCAAGCAGCATTTCGCCGATCGCAACGTTGCCGGCCATCGCTGCGTACATGAGCGGCGACTCGTTGTCCTAGCAAGCTTCGGGTTGCGTCATTTTCCCAGAATTTACTTGCGCACCAGCGTCGAAATGTCCAAGGACGCGCCGTTCTCAAGCAGGTGCCGCACCACTGCTTCGTGACCTGATTTAACAGCGACGGTCAGCGCCGAACCTCCCCACTAGATCCAATTGAGGACCATGCGTGATGATGCACCAAGGCGCACCGGAAGGCGCTGATTGATGGCCGCATCCGCTGCCACAAGCAGCGCCATTACGTCTGCGTGTCCGTTGCTGATCGCAAGGACGAGAGCCGTTGCCCCTCCCTACGTAGGGTGTGTTTTCTTTCGCATCCCTAGTGTTGAAGTACCGGTGTCATTGCGTCCACGTCCGCCTTGGCCTCGAGGAGCGCCGCGACCACGGACGTGTGGCCATGCAGCGCCGCGACGGCCAGCATCGGATGCTTCATCTGTACATGGGAATGATAAGGTACGGGCATGAGGACCTCGCATGTCGATCAAAGTACGTCGTCAAGGGCGTTGGCGTCGGCGCCGTCCCGGAGCAGGTTGGCCACGACGGTTGCGTCGCCGCTCGCGACGGCTTCGATGAACGCTCTCTGCGCCTACGAAAAAGGCGGCATGGGATGGTTCTGCGGAGCAGCTTCGTACGCCCATGGATCGGCTGCTTCAGTGCGCTCACGACAAGGGCAGTGGCAAAGTGAGCGCAATGGTGTGCAATCAAGTTGTAGCGAGTCGGAATGATATGTTGGGCAATATATCATTGTTCAGAGGTTGCACGCACCATGTCACAGCTGGGCGCAAGACACATGGCTTGGTGGCTTAGCGGGATACAGGGTGCGAGGCCTGCTCCTCGAGTGACGTTGCTTGGATAAAACTAGAATGCTGGGCTCTGTTGTTGGTTTTGCTGAGCCGCCTTCTCTTGAAAAGTCCGCTTCGACTCGACTGGCTTGGACTCGTTGCCGGCGCGAAACACCCATTGCTCGACACACCCAATTACTACGTTACGTAGCTTTAAGGACTTGCGACTCGACCACGTCTTGAAGGCAGGAGAGAGGATGGGAAGCTACCGGTATTAACCGATGCCAACGTCCTGCCCCTGTAATGTAGTAGTATGATTCGCAACCCCGTGCAATCAACTCTGAAAGTTGGCCACAGCTGTTGCGCTCCAGTGGAAAGGCTGGCTCGGGTCAACGCGGCGGCTGTGGTCAGCTAATCGCGGCAGTCAAGAAGGCTGTGTTGTCGTCGACATCTTTTACTGTTAGTCCAACTGGTTCACCACCACGTCGACCCGGGTTCAAGTCCCGACTCCGCTGTTTTCATTGGCACACATCCTCAAATGACAAAGAAACGCGATGGCCATTGGCTAAACCACGTCATCGCTAGAGCAGCGACAGCATAGCCACTGCCTCGACCGATGATGAGGCCATGACCACGTGGCCGTGGAGCTCGTCGACTTTGCCGAGTTCCCGATCCTCGACAAGCACGAGACACTTGAGATCCTATAGGCCTCGAGTCCGAGACGCCGATTCTGCGCATTGGCGACTTTACGCTCTACGGCGTGTACGAAGATGCGATTGGCACCGACGTCTTCTACGACCTCCAGGCGAGTGAGAAGACGACGCTGCATGCCACGAGCAAGCGGCTCAAGTTTACAATTGCACCCAAAGACAAGAACGCGTTCCATAAGAAGACCATGAAGGTTGTGTAAGATGTTTCTCGTGTGCTAGCAGAGCCGTGCTTCTGTGCTGTTGAGTGCAGTGGACGTTGTTTGGATCGAGCACGGCCGTGAGATCGACGCGCCTCTTCACGGTGCCCAGCCCATCCATCTCGTAGCCTGCGTCGCTGCCACAGAGCAACATCGTCCTTCTAGTATGACACAAAACAACTTGGCTATATTTCGACTTGGTATGCACGCACTCCAGCAGCTTAGGACAACATCGACTCACTCGTTCGGAACGGTCGCCATCGCATACCGCGGCGTCCGGGACAACCACGAGGTCGATGGCACCTCACGGACCTGGCCGTCGTCGAGCAGTTTGCGCAGGTGCATCCGGACGTTGCGGGCAGCCGCCAAGGATAAAAAGTATGGCAGCGACGGGTACATGGCCGCCACAATCGTCGATACGTCGACTGGCCCCTTGGACGTGAGCACGGCGAGGATCTCATCTTCGCGCTTCTGGCGGTGGCTCAAGTACATGTCGATGGTGTCGACGGCCTTCTCGACGACCGGGCCATGGCCGGGGTACAGCCGCGTGGGGTTGCACGCGCGCAAGGCGCGGAGCGAAGCCATGTACTCGGAGAGCGACTGGAAGGTACACGTGCCTTCGCCCAAGACGCAGTCGCCGGTAAAGATCGCATTGTCGTCGTCGAGGAGAAAGCACACGTGGTCGTTGGTGTGGCCCGGCGTGTACACCGGTCGCAGCACCGCGCCGTCCGTCGTGAGCACCTCGTCATTGGCGAGGAGCGTTGCGAGGTCGAAGATCTGGAGGCCGTCAATGGCATACGCGTTGGACACATGCGCCGAGCACTCGCAGGCCGACGGCGCGTATGTCAGCATCTTCCAGACTTTTGCGTCCGGGAAGCGCGCCTGGAGCTGCCAGAGACCGCCGATATGGTCAAAGTGAGCGTGCGTCAGCACAATGTCCGAGAGCGTCTCGACGCCATGCGCTGCCAAGGCCGTGAGGAGCAGCTCGAGGTACGCATGCGACCCGTCGCCCGTGTCGATGAGGATGCGCGCGCGCCGGTACCGACGACGTACGTGTTGGTGCCCTGGAGCGTCATGCGCCCGGGGTTGAGGCCGAGCACGCGAAGCACGTTGGGCGCCAGCTGCTCGACGGGCGCCAGCCGCGTCAGCGTCGACGACGACCCCGAGATCGCGACAAGCCACGCCATGGCCCGCGCGCGCAGCCTCACGTAGACGTGCGAGTGGACGGCGGCGGCGCAGAGACGCTGGCGCTGCCAGAGAAGCGCGACGAGGAGGCCGCCGACGGCGACGCCAGCCCGAACGTCCATCGTCCGGATCCTGGTTTGCCGAAGCTGGTCGAACTCGGCCCCTGGGTTCAACCCATAAAACCGAGTGTCAAAACGCGTTATTTGAAGCCCACGATCCGAGGAGTTCCTTGGCGGGTGATTCTTCGAGGCCATCATCACTGCGAAGGAAGGCGGCGATCCAACTGTGCCATGCAGTTGCATGCAGATGGGTTGTTGCTGACACGGGTCGAGGCGCCACTGCATAAACATAAAACGCTGCGTTGTAGTCCCGATGGTTTTTCGTGGCGTCGACCATGGTTTTAGCCGCCTCCATCTACGAGCTCGGCCACAGCGAAGGCATCAAGGGCACTAGGTAGGATATCTATAGCTTACGTAGCCACTGCGCGGCCCAGGCGAGGTGACTATGGTTGCAGTTGCTGCACAAAACGGCCCGTTCTCAACGCTATTGATATAAAAAATAAAAAATAAAGCCTGAAGCTCTGGTTCATCATATCAACGCCTCCTGTCTCGACCGTCATGCAGTCTTCCGCCGTGGAGCGGAGAAGACGCCTGGTTCCCAAGGATCCTTCTTGAATCTCGCTGGTGCGACGCGGTGGCCACCCAACAAATAAGCTTGTTTTTGTATGCCCACAAGCGACGCTCGTCGACACTTGAGGTTTGTATACCGCAACCACCAACATTCTCGACCTCTCGCAATACGTATTTGCACCCGCACGGTCAGCGACTAATACCACGCAACTTGATCGGCGTCCAGAGTTGAAGCCGTTTCGGTAGCGGTCGTCGCTCGCGCCTACGACCCAGCCGCATTGCTCGCAGCCGCACACCACACAAGGCTTACTTCTCTGTCCATAGGCGTTCATTGATCGCTTCAAGTCCACGGACAACAGTTGCTGCAACGTTCACGAGGCATCCCATCGCCAACCTAACGCACAGTCGTTCGCCATATCACTCTGCGCTGGCTCAGCATGTTACGGCTGGCTATGTATATAATGAATGTATCGCGTTTGCTCCTTTGTCCCGTCTATCTCGCCATCTACTCTCATCCAAGAGCACTTCAACAACAACGTCCTCCGCCGTCATCGCAACGCCAACACGTTCTCGGCGACCCGTATCCAGCTGGATGCTAGCACCTCGCTCCCGCATATTGTCGATCCGTGCTGTGTGGTCTGCAGCGCTGGCTCGGTGCATCGCTTGGTGCTACCTCTTTTGTTGCAGTTGCGTGCGTTTAGCTCGTCGCCGATGGTTTCATAAAAGGTCACAGGTTTTGTTACACTTGGGTTTTGTATACGCGTGCGCCTCGAGGTGACTGGTGGCATTAGCAAATTTGCACGGCTCTCGACGGACCCGCTTCCCGCTCCTCCACCGCTCCTTCCGACAGCAAGTGCATGCTTTTGTGTTATAACCACTGCTTCTGCTACCCCAAGGACAAGAACAACGCCCGTTATACACGTCTT